TTTCACATTCAAGTGTTCCTGTAAATATCCAGTGATAGACTTCATCTGTTGCAGCCAAACTAAATACAGCAATGAATAATGGAAGCATACGGAAAACTGTTTTGATATCTTCTACTTCTTCCTCTGTAAATGGTCCACCATACTTATCCTTACCCAGGTCTAGTCTTGAAGGAGCCTCTTCCTCCCAGTAGGTCAGAGCACTACGATTCTCAGGATACTTGTGCTTCCTGGCATAACACAATACTCTAACTATTAATCTGATTGGGTTCTTTATTAAAGTTATGTTCTCCAGTTTGTGTTTAAACAATGAATGAGACACCAGTACAAAAAATATAGCTACTCCTGCTAAAACAAAACATATTAATAGAAAGTACTTTTGATCAATGAGACAACGACCCAATTCAAAAAAGGTAAACACGATTGGAATGCAGACAAAATGCCAATGAATAAGAGCACTTATTTCACGAGATGATGCACCAATAATTTGATCAATGTTATACTGAATAATGTTAGCTTTGAAGCTACCATAACCTGAAACTTCAAGTACATAGGCAATACCATAAGTTGTCAACAGAATGACACTAGAAGGATAGAAACTATTCACAACATAACCACCACCTGCAATGATCATTGATAAGAAACAGAAAACAATACCAATCATTATTGCTCTGTGTCTTCCAATCTTGACATCTGCAACCAATCCATAGATAGGAAAACTTATAAAAACAAGACAATATAAAACGTTGAATCCGAGCCATCTATTGTTGACGGTTGATGAAACAGTTGAAGGTCCAAAATATCTTAAAAGGAGAATGTGGGAATACATCAGACAATCCCAGGTAAGAACCATAACAGCCCATCGAGTAAAGACCATTCTTGAGAGTGATCAGAAGTAAGCAGCATAGGATTTTAAAACTGTAGTGGGAAGGAAACGTTATGTATCATAAGGTGATGAAGCAAGTTATCGACAGTACACTAGAGCATCATTTTCAGTTTCCTGTTGATGATCGTCATGTGAAAAACAAAAAGTTCTCAATAAATTAATTATACATTGCAATATTATATGGCATAGATGAATTTTACTGTTTTTTCATTCAGAAAAGTTTTATTAGTATTGTAGTGTTGTGTAAAGCAAATAAAATCAGTATTGAATTTAAATTTTTAAATGAAAAAATAATGACAAGCTACAAATAATTATCATTAGCAGAATTATTATTATTTTGGAGGCTTAGTCAACCTAATGGAATGCTAAAAAAATTGCTGACAGCCAATCCAGATAAAAATAAAATAAATAAAAATCCCAAAAACTTAAGTAAAAGAGGAAATAGTATTAGCAGAAAAATAACAAGACAAGCAAGGACACAAAAAAGTGAAAAGAACATGCATTACTAGACTCTACTACTAAAAAAATTAACAAAAAATGATGAATGTACATCAAATTTTACAAATTTGTAACTGACTGGCTATGCAAGCATTTGATATATAGCATTGAGTACGTGATCTACTTATAATGTAAAAAGGGAGTCATCAGTTATAGCTAACTTGAAACTTGTATGCTATATTCTTCTTCCTGTGCCATGTATCTGTGATAGTGATCATCAACTATTTGATGAACATTAACTTCATTCTCTCGTATACGGTACTTGTAATTTCTAGCCAGTATTATGAACACTATCAGTATAACAAAAACTACAGCACTCTTAGTCAGGTAGTAGTAGGAAGCAGTACATAAATACTCATTGTGACAACCAAATAGATACTTGATATTAATATTGAAAAGGTATCCACATCCCAATGAAGCAAACCATATTCCAACCATGACTCCCCTCATATGCACTGGAGACTGTGCTATTGTGAATTCTAATGATGCTGGAATGAGTATGGCGAATGTGAATCCAAGGAACATTTGTGGAAGGAGCATCATTTTGCTTGAAAAAGGCATTAGAGCTTCTGTATTGCTTTGAAAGAAGTGCAGTATAGAAAATTTACTTGTTAGTGTCAATATTGCAAACATTTGTCCAAAAGTAATCAACTTGAGGATACCAGGAATATATTTATAGCAGCATACTTTGATTACTAATAAGTGGAAGAGAATCAGGAGACCTGAAATAAGAAATTTTAAAAATTGAGTTGACAATAGGCAGTCAATAACCAATACATTTTGACATTTCACTGTTCCTGTAAATATCCAGTGATATACTTCATCTGTTGCAGCGAAGCTAAATACAGCAATGAATAATGGAAGCATACGGAAAACTGTTTTGACATCTTCTACCTCTTCCTCTGTGAATGGACCACCATACTTATCCTTACCCAGGTCTAGTCTTGAAGGAGCATCTTCCTCCCAGTAGGTCAGAGCACTACGATTCTCAGGATACTTGTGCTTTTTGGCATAACACAATACATTAATTATTAATTTGATCGGGTTCTTTATTAATGTAATGTTCTCCAGTTTGTGTTTAAACAATGAATGACTCACCAGTACAAAAGATATAGCTACACCTGCTAGTATAAAAGTTATTGCTGGAAAGTATTTTTGATCAATGAGACAACGCCCCAATTCAAAAAAAGTAAACACAATTGGAACACAGACAAAATGCCAATGAATAAGAGCACTTATTTCACGAGATGATGCACCAACAATTTGATCAATGTTATACTGAATAATGTTAGCTTTGAAACTACCATAACCTGCAACTTCAAGTACATAGGCAACACCATAAGTTGTCAGCAGAATGACACTAGAAGGATAGAAACTATTCACAACATAACCACAGCCTGCAATGATCATTGATAAGAAACAGAAAACAATACCAATCATTATTGCTCTGTGTCTTCCAATCTTGACATCTGCAACCAATCCATAGATAGGAAAACTTATAAAAACAAGACAATATAAAACGTCGAATCCGAGCCATCCATTATCGACGGTTGATGAAACAGTTGAAGGTCCAAAATATCTTAAAAGAAGAATGTGGGAATACATCAGACAATCCCAGGTAAGAACCATAACAGCCCATCGAGTAAAGACCATTCTTGAGAGTGATCAGAAGTGAGCAGCTTAGGATTTTGAAACTGTAGGAAATGTTATGTATCATAAGGTGATAAAACAAGTTATTGACAGAACACTAGAGCATGATAAAACAAGTTATTGACAGAACACTCGAGCATCATTTTCTGTTTCCTGTTGATGATTGTCATGTGAAAAACAAAAAGTTCTCAATAAATTAATTATGCTTTGCAATATTATATGGTATAGATGAATTTTGCTGTTTTTTTTCATTCAGGAGAGTTTCATTAGCATTGTAGTGTTGTGTAAAGTAAATGAAATCAATATTGTATTTAAATTTTTAAATGAAAAAATAATGACAAGCTACAAATAATTATCATTAGCAGAATTATTACTATTATGGAGGCTTAGTCAACCTAATGGAATGCTAAAAAAATTGCTGACAGCCAAACCAGATAAAAATAAAATAAATAAAAATCACAAAAACTTAAGTAAAAGAGGAAAGAGCATTAGCAGAAAATGACAAGACAAGCAAGGATACAAAAAAATGAAAAGAACATGCATTACTAGACTCTACTACTAAAAAAATTAACAAAAAATGATGAATATACATCAAATTTTACAAATTTGTAACTGACTGGCTATGCAAGCATTTGATATATAGCATTGAGTACGTGATCTACTTATAATGTAAAAAGGGAGTCATCAGTTATAGCTAACTTGAAACTTGTATGCTATATTCTTCTTCCTGTGCCATGTATCTGTGATAGTGATCATCAACTATTTGATGAACATTAACTTCATTCTCTCGTATACGGTACTTGTAATTTCTAGCCAGTATTATGAACACTATCAGTATAACAAAAACTACAGCACTCTTAGTCAGGTAGTAGTAGGAAGCAGTACATAAATACTCATTGTGACAACCAAATAGATACTTGATATTAATATTGAAAAGGTATCCACATCCCAATGAAGCAAACCATATTCCAACCATGACTCCCCTCATATGCACTGGAGACTGTGCTATTGTGAATTCTAATGATGCTGGAATGAGTAT